AATTATATTAAAAAAAGGTATTTAATTTTTATAATTAATTATAATTACTTTAATTAAATTAATAGGTAAAGTGTATATTAAAGCTTATACCACCTATAATATATAGTAGTGTAACTTGTACTTTTTATCCCACATAATAGCATAATATATATAGTTATAATAAGCGATGTGTTAAATAAATGGAACCCTTTTATTAAGTACTTTTTTGCGACGCGTTTAACTTGCGTTGGATTTGCAGTGTTAAGTAGAAGCTACCCCGCTTTACATTCGAGTTAACTCTATCGTTGCTGCCTAAGGGCTCAAATTTAGAATTCAGGGAAACTCGCTTCCAGGTAGAGTGTAAAAACGGGTACCCGTAGGTACCCGTGGGTATCTAAGTTTTTCTTAGGTTATTTATAGGCTACCTATTTTATTATATAGGTAATTAAGATTTAAAAACACTTAATATTCTTAATAAATAATTATAAGTATCTTATTTTCCCTTATAAATTTATTTAAGTCTTTTTTTTTACCTATACCTACCTAAAGCTCACGGGTAAGCAACCTACACGAGTACCCGTAAACCTTTTACACCCTACTTCCAGGTAGATAAAGATTGCTTGTTGAACCTCCTCCTCTTCCTGCCTGAATTCTTCCCCACTTACTAAACACTCTTCATTGTGCGCTCTTCGACTTGATCTCTCATCGCCAGCTCTTTTCCGTCGTACATATGTCACTACTAGCTTTCAAGTCTTCTTGAACGCCTCCCAACGCCCTCTCGTCTCCCATCCATAGAGCCAGCATCTCCGAAACCCACGTGAAGAAAAAGGGCAAAACGCAGAGCGGCTACGCATACAACAGCTCTGACGACTGGTCGACTATGTCCGGGGATCCTCCCGAATCTTCGGAATGTTCTTGTTCGCGAATTCTGCACTCGGGTTCTGGCCCAGACTTACCAGCCAACACTTCGAAGGCGTGGTTTGATCACGGGAACCCGTTTAAATCCTACGAGCCACTTGGATCCGTTTCGAATACCACCAATTCGCAACGGCGGACATCGTCCTTTATCTTCCGATGGACAGGGCAGCATAACGATAAACAATCCAATAATACATACGGCCACACGGAATGGGACGCTTTGCTTGACATCACAAAACAACTCAGTGGAGATCAGACAAGTGTCTATGAAGGAAACTTTCACGCTGGTGGTCGTCACATTGTTCGCCGAATCAAGCTCACAGAGCGGGGCGAGCTGTGGCTGGCACGCATCCCAATCATATGTGGTCCACCAGTCCCGGAACCTGACTCCAGCTGGTGGACGAGCGAGAAACAGTTTACAATGGAAAGCGAGATCGCAACCATGAAGTTTATTTCGCAGTCCACCGATATCCCCGTCCCGAGAGTGTTTGCCTACAACACAGGCCTAGAGAAAAACCCTGTCGGATTGCCTTACCTATTAATGGAATGCATCGAAGGCAATATGCTCTATGACCTTGGTGGCCCAAACGTTCTTACTGAAGAACAACGCATCAAGTTACGCAAGTCGATAGCGTCTATACAGGTTATTTACCCCCTTAAGCTTCATTTGCCTCTGCTGACCTCTCCAGTGCAAACTAGCAAATGCCACCTTGGACAAGCTTGGTTCTCTTGTATTGAAATCCAATGGTGATATCGATATTGGCCCGCTCCCAGCTCAATTTGGCTTCAAAGGACCTTTTGACTTAATGGCGGACTATTTCTTAGCTTGGACGACGCACAACGCAAGCTTCAAAAACATACATCAACTCAAGGACCCAAAATTAATTCGGGCCACCAAATCCTTCCCGCAGCGACTGAAATTAACGACCGAAACTCTTATGGCCGCCAGAAGCTCCCGTACCTATCCTATTGTGCACCCCGATTTTCTCATGCATAACCTCCTGTTAGATGATAGCTTCGAGGTTGTGGGAGTGATTGATTGGGAATTTGCACATACAGCCCCCATTGAGGTTTTTGCAGCGCGGATGAACATGTACGCCTCGTTCAATCCACAACAAGCGACCCTAGACTTGAATGAAGAAGGGAAACAATATGTAGGAGATGTTGCTTGCACGGAAATGGGCATGAGTGCGTCACCAAGACTTTCGGAAACTTTCGGAAGCATACTTGGAGACATTGGCTTGTGTATGCAATTTTTTGAAGAGGGAAGGGCACTGTCATTTGATACCGTGCTAGATCGTACGGAAAAAGTCTACCTAACGCAGCTATAATGAATGAATCGCGTTGCCTTCACATTCTCTCTAACTCAGTTGAGCGGACATGCGTGCTTAACCAATCCTTTCAACGTCGACCACCGAAGGATAGGGATACTAGTAGAATTCAGGTCAACTAAAACCGAGTATAGTCACGATAAAGCCCACCTACACTTTCATTGGCGAATATGGCCACATTTGGGACACGCGTCTCCTCGTTTAATGTTTGTTTAATCGCAGTACACAGGATTGTTACACTGACCATAGAGACTTAAAGGCATTGCTAACAAGTGCACACACTGTAATGGAGTTAATGTATGACAATATCTCATATGCTTGAAACAAAATGGTGATGAGAAAGTTCACTTTGAGATTGGATGTGAGCATGTGTTAATGGCTTTATATATTGCCATTGCAGCCATTTGGGCCGCCTTATCGTTCGCTAGCTGGGGTGTGTACTGAAGTCACCCGCAATCACCACTGACCAGCTGCGAGATGGGGTGTGGTGGGGCTAGAAACCAAAGTACAGCCTTAACACAACTAAAGGGGTTAGTGGGGAGCTCTGTACTGTACTGCAGGCTGGCTGCATTAGAGTGTAAAAAGGGGTACCCGTGGGCACCCGTGGGTATCTAAGTTTTTCTTGGGTTATTTATAGGCTACCTATTTTATTATATAAGTGGTTTAGAAAGTTATATAAGTCTTATTTAAGTACTTAAAAATACCTAATATTTTTAATAAATAATTATAAGTAACTTATTTTCCCTTATAAATTTATTTAAGTCTTTTTTTCTTACTTATACCTACCTAAAGCCTACGGGTAAGCAACCCACACGGGTACCCGTGGACCTTTTACACCCTAGGCTGCATGATAGCACAAATGCACACCATACCCTCACCAACCGCATTACGGGCGAAGGCTCTTCTAGACGGAGAAGAAAATCGGACTCCAAGTTTCTTGACTCCCATTGGCCAGAGTTTCTCACCCTCTCATCGGGTATTGCCTGCTCCGCCCTCCTTGCTGTGAAATGTCCCGCCCAAGTTCAGTTATTCAGCTAACCCGCCATCCATTTGTAGCCTATTGCGTTGCTATGTGCCTTTCTAATACCTCTCCAACAGTCATCTCGCTAATCTTCCATAGCCTTGACTGTGTAGCAGTCATCTCTTCCGGCACTCTGTTGCCTACCCAAGTCTCTCTCCCGCACTTTGGACGATAGCATGATGTACAGACCGACAATTAATAAGGGTTGATTCACCGTAACACGCTTTGGTATTAGGGCTTATGAGGGATGCTGCAGGTTGGTCGTCCACCGTTACTACAGAACCAACAGGAAACTCGCGACTCATACCGTGTCCAATCGAATGTGGGCTGCAGCAACACGCATGAGACATCAATGACGGTCAGCCATTACATAGTGAGGCGGAATAATGCTAGCTTCGATTACAAGAAGCTCGGCGTGGTCCGCTCGCTGAGCTGCACCAATGACTTGAACACATCTGCAATCGAGGAGCGACGCACCTGCACCTGAGGATGACGCATCTGCAACAGAAAGCGACGCACCTGCACCATTAGGCCGCACATGGAGGGCATTTCTGCCAATCCAATGCTACTCTCACTGCCATTATAGAGGGTTACTTAGGTGACGCATCTGCTCCTGAGGCGCACGGGAGAGTCGACCAGTATGCTCCTAATTAGTAAGTTAGACCGCAGATTGCACCATGTGATAACACTATGTATCTCCTACATGTCCGGTGAAGAATTCTTGGCACTCACGCCAGGCAACAGCTCAGAGACAGATTTCAACAGAACAGCGCTCTGAGCAGGTTTCTTTTCGTCACAACCCGCTCTTCATCATACATAGATTTTCCGCCTCCGAGGTCCTGTGCTCTTCAGTTCAGGTACTCACCAATATCGTGATGTGTGGATGTTGCGATAAGTGCTATCGTGCTTTGTTGCTACAATGGCCCAACTGCATTTCACTAATTGTGATGTCTGCTCCGAAGAGATGCTCTCTCAAGCGGCTCTTATGAACCATATCCAGCTACATTTGGTACGAAATGACCGTTTTTCCGCCGGAAGACTTCTGACCCTGACTGACAACCTCAACAGTCCCAATTCAACCGTCTCATCAATAGATCACTTTCGCACTACTTTGCGGAGCTAGACGACAATGTTGGAACCGATGCTGATTCGGATCATTCCACAACTCCTCCAGAAAAGAAGACCCCCGCGAAGCGGCTGAAGGTCTGGAAGTGTCCGTGCAAGACTTGTGATCACGGAGCCTTCAGAAGGAAACAAGAACTTGTCCAACACTATGCTACGCGTATGGAGCCCGTTCCTCGTCCAGTATTTCTCTAACGAGAAAGGTCAGATTACATGTGTGACTGGACCTGCATCTGTTCTATAACGTTTCATCTTGGAGGCAAATATCTTTATCATAATTGCAAAGCGGGTCAATCGACAAAGGACCGATGGGTTCTTTTACGGCCAGAGTTGGAGAGAGTGCTCAACGAAGCTATGACTAAGGCAAACGCCGGCTCGCGCCGACGTGTGAAAAGTGCGACGCGCCCCGTGTCTTTGAGATCACACAGGCGAGCATCGTCGAATTTGGCGGAGAATCCGCCAAGAGACAGGTTAAATCCCACAGGCATTCGGCCTCAAGTCCTGAATTAAATCTTGCCTCTTGCACTAGAAAATACATCTTTTAACAGATTTGGAATACCGCCCATAGCAGAGTCGTCGTTTCCAGAACCAAACGAGGCTGCTATTGCAACTTGTACGGAAGACCTTGGACCATCGTCAGCACACAATGCTCTAGCGCCATTCCAAGAATCTCTTCTAATACATCGGTCTAATGCACCTTTATTCTGGGAATCGTGAGGTTCTGGATCAGAGCATTGACTGTGGTGTAGTTTTATAGTTTTATAGTTTTATAGTTTTATAGTTTTATAGTTTTATAGTTTTATAGTTTTATAGTTTTATAGTTTTTATAGTTTCTAATATAATAAATAATATTAAATCTAATAAAATACTTATAAGATTATAAGTTTT